CTGATGAGCATTTACGGCACATCATTATTAACCTTAAGGTTTACGTCGGCAAATAGGCATACTGCCGCAATTGCTTTCTTACCTAATCATAAATGGTAGATTTCTTCAATCTGTAGTATTCTATTCAAATATGAATAGGTGCATATCGGAGAATGAAAGAAATAAAACAAAAAGTAGTAATCCAATGAAACAGTAACTCCCTAAAGTGTTTAGCCATTTAAATTCTGATGAAAAACGCAAACAAAAAAACGAAAAATCGATGTCGTCTAAATGATACGTATGTAAATGTCAATCTCCTAAATATTAAGATTGGCAATAGCTTTACAAGGACAGGCCACTGTCATATTTTCAAAGAATAATACGTAATGTTTAATTTTTCTCAGTTGTTAAACGACCAATTTCAATCATCATATCACCGTAGCGACATTCGATATGACAAAAAAGCTTTTCAAAATTCAATGGTATTTCACCTTGGATCATGACAAGAGAAGGCTCATAACATTCAGTGATGCGGGGAGACGATGGGGTCGATTGTAGTATGATATTCCATTTCAACGACGATAAGGCAATCGCTGTATTGATAGTACGCCAACACTTTATTATATATTTATTTTTTGTTAAAAACAATTCCTGATTTCGAGCTTGAATTTAATTATATAACATCCGTGGTAAGTACAGTTCCACAGTATTTTTGAAATAATGATTTTCAATTTAATGGCATACAACCTTTTGTTTTTCTATATCGGAAAATAAGTGGAACTTTAAAAGCTTCAGTCACGTTTGTTCAATGCGACCACACGGCGATCGTATTTCCCTGAAATCAGTAAATTTCTGCGGCAAACATAGGAAAACTACAGTCGACTTAAGGTCACTTTGCTGTCTACATACACGACATATCCAGTTTTTACAAGGCGTAGAGTCGGAGTTATAACTTTTTCTTTCCTGTGGTCACCATAGATATCAACAAGCAGCAGGCAAATCGTAGGTCTCACGACGGCCGTACGTCGGGTTCACGGTCGACTTGCGGCTGCGCTTAGGTTACAATTGACCTTTCCGAACCATAGAACCCCTTGTGGATGCCTTCAAGAAAAACTACGCACCTCGTAGGGCCGCCTTACGCTGATTGTGCGTCATCATTTATCAGCCGTACGGGAATCGTAGTTTTTCCTCATAATCAAGATACGCCATACGGCTATCTTAGCAAATGTGACTGCTAAATTATCTGACTGCAGAAATACTTAGGCAACCGTAGAAATCCTTCTTACCACAGAAATAATAGACCGTACGGTCCCCGTAAAAATGTGACGTGAGGCTAAGAATCCATGATAGTAATTGAATACGGTTTTAGAATTTAATTTTAAAATTTTAATTTCTTTGAATACCTGTGTTAAAATAAACATAAATGCAATGAATATTAAAGTACGAACACGTATTTTTGTAATGAGACTAGCAAATTAAACCATTGCATTCTTGGAAATTCAAGATGGGTTGGTTGAATTAATTCTATTATGTTTTATTCAAATAGTTTGCATTCGCCTGATAGAATTAGCATTTTCTGTTTGCATTTAGCGCTAGACCTAATAAAAGTTAAAAAGTCACAATTGTTTCAAGTGTAAATAAAGAATAAATCTAACCCGCATTCCATGTCTAGATAGGTAAAAAGCAATTCCGAAAATGCCGGCGTTAATATTCTATTGAAATCGTTCTTTATTATGGGTGGTATATACGTACTCTTTTAGTTCCTTTGAAATGATTTCTTTGGTTTTGGAATGGCAACAACACGGCATTCATCTTTTGATTCAAAAATGGCGCTTGGAATGCCAAGGCATCAATCTGGCATCAGTGACGTCATAACAATGTCGTAAAGAACCACTTTACGGTTGAAATGGCAGCTCAGTGGTCCAGTTCATATGCAAAACCCGGGGCTTAATAACAATTAAAAGGATAATGATAGAACAATAAAACTAAGTTGGATTGAAAGATATATCTTTATTCTAACTTATTATCAAGTTTAAGGGACAAAAGTTCGCATTCCCTTTAATAGGCCCAAAAAGTTCCAATAATGCCCAAAAAAGCCCCCTAATCACGGCCCCACAAAATTTTTGGGCTACATTGCTACGTAGGACCTCATAGCAACCATATCAAAATGATGTTATTTTTACAGCTCTTTCATGAAATTAGATAATGTAAATGGGTACACAAAATATTTGATGTCCATTGTTCACTAATTTCAATGACTGATGAATGATGAAGATGCACTTATGACTGGTTGTAAGTTTAATTATACATGTGCTGTATGACGAAGATACGAAGGCCTCTAAAGATACAGCGTTCGCAACTTACGACCAGTCGTAAATATTCAAACTTACAGCGGCTCATAAGTTAACAAGAAGTGTTGTGAAAACAGCCAACAGAATCCCAAAACATAATCAATTCTAGATTTTCATATAAAGACACATCCCTGAAAATTAAAATCAATCCATCAAATGGCTTGCTTGGAGTCACATAGACATAACTTTACACACAAGATTTCGGAATGGAAAATCCGAAATGACTCCCTTAACATTTACCAAGATTGCACAAAATCTAATCTGTTCTAGATTTTCATACCAAGAAACATTTCTAAAACTTTAAGGTCAATCCGTCTCATGGTTTAGCTTGAAATGTGTAAACAAGACTAACAGACAGGATTTTAGGATGGAAATACCAAAATGGCTGCCTTAAACCCGGAATGCCCAAAAACTTATCAGTTCAAGATTCTCATACACAGAAATACATCCCTGAAAATTTGAAATCATCAAACAGTTCACCTGGAAACAGGTAGAAAAAACTAAGTGGGAAGCCCTGACCACCCGACTGGCAAACTGATCACAATATAGCACCCAAGGGTGCGATAAAAATTAATGACAAGAAACCTGCACGTATTAATGAATGTAGTGTACACCACCACTGCTCAATTTAAAGATGGTTACGTTGGAGCTTTTTAAATATATCTCACACACTAGAAGCATATCAGAAAATCATACATCTATTCATTTTGCCATTTGTTAGTAAACTTTCTCATTAAAATTTTTTTCTAGCAGAAATCATACCCTCCCCATCTCCACTCATTTTGTCCAATTTACGGGCGTGAGTTGCAAGGAGTTCTCATCTGCTATTTAATTAGTTTTTCATGGCCTTCAGTAACCTTTTAAGGGTAAGATTTTTCAATTTTTCAAATCATCTATTAGCTTCTGAAGGTCAAAGATCAAGGTCATTATTATTATATTATGGTCACCTCATTCAAATATGAATAGTACCTTCTACTATCCATATTCATATCTTAACTGCAAAAACAGCAACTCTACGGAGTAGCAAATCCCACCGAACAAAACATATTGATAAATAGCCTCCATCTTGAAAATTTCTTCTTGAACAGAGCTCCTTTGTTCCTAAGTATCAGCATATAAAATTTGAACCAAATCCATCCTCTGGTATTTGAGTTTTCAAGGATTTCATTTCCATTTTGAAATCCAGCTGCCATATTGAAAATTTCTTCTTATCAGAGCACCATTATCCCTAAGGCATCACCATAAAAAATTGAACCAAATCAGTTAATCGATTTTGGTTATCAAAAATTTCATTTTAATGACAAATGGCAGCAATTATGATAAATAGTGACCATCTTGAAAATTTCTTCTTATCTCTAAGCATCAGCATATATTTGAAATATGTAAATCTGTCCATAATGTTATTTGATTTATCAAAGATAACATTTTTTACTAAAAATGGTGGTCATTTTGAAAAACAGCTGTCATCTTAAAAATTTCTTCTTGAACAGAGCTCCTTTGTCCCTAGGCATCAGCATATAAAATTTCAACCAAATCCATCCATCGGTTTATTAACCATCTTCCAAATTCCCTCTTGAGCAGAGCTTGTTTGTCACTAAGCATCGACATAAAATTTGAACCATATCTGTCCACTGGTATTTGAGTTATCAAAGATTACTTTTTTTACATAAAATGGCATGAAAATGTCTTTTTTAACATAGCTCCTTTGTCCCTAGGCATCAGCATATAAAATTTGAACCAAATCCATCAATTGGAATTTGAGTTATCGAAGATTATGTTCTTTTACGAAAAATGGCAGCCATTTTAAAATTCAGTGGCCATCTTCAAAATCTCTTCTCAAGCAAAGCCCTTTTGTCCCTAGGCATCAGCATTGTATTAAAGATTGCGTTTTTTAAGAAAAATGGCAGCCATTTTAAAATTCTGCAGCCAAAATCTCTTCTTGAGCAAAGTCCCTTTTCCCTTTGGCATCAGCATATAAAATTTGAATCAAATCCATCCACTAGTATTGAGTTATCAAAGGTTACATCTTTTACAAAAAATGGTGGTCATTTGAATTGAGTGGCCATATTGAAAATTCCTTCTCGAGCAGAGGTCCTATATCACTAAGGCATTAGCCTATAAAAGAATCAAATCCGTTAAAGGCTGATATCGCTAAAACCACCATTTGTTCATTATTTTATATTCTCTCATTAAAGATCAAAATATAGATATCTCAAGAGAGGTGCAGCTTTAACTGATATTTGAGTAGGATGAACAAAAAATGAATGAACGGACGGACGAACAACTTCTCTATATCCCTCTCGAACTTCGTTCGGTGGGTAATGAGTTGGCCATAAAATAGAGCAAGGTTTCTCATAGTTTTGGACTACAGATAATTCCCATATTTTCATATGACACTTGCAATATACATGTACATCTTACATAAAGTATTCACTTATCTCAAAAAACTGGTCGAGTTCAAAAGTTGTTAAATTATCAACGTTCAACTTGCTTCAATTTGACGTAACTTGTTCAAAATCATCTATTGGCTACCAGAAGTTCATGTACATTTGACCTTCATTGACCTTGACCTCAAATACCTCTATAATGGATCACTGCGAAATTAGAAGAAGCTATTTTTAAAGACTAATAAATGATTTGAAAGTGATAAATAAACTAAAATAAACATACTGCACAAGTGAGAATTGCCTTGTCTCATAGTGGAATCTGGGAACAGGGTCTCCATGTTTGTAAGCATTCTTTAAAGCATCAAGGTCCTTCCTACAGTTCTCACTCATTTTATCAAACCTGTAACAAAAAACAAGTATTTCATGAATTAATTGAGAGTTTAAGCTAGCGATATTTTTCACAACTTAACTGTGAACGCAAAGCCGATGAAGAAAATGATATATATATGATACATGTTTTAGCTTCAAATATCTTACGAAATGAGCATGTTTAAAATATGTATCATAGAAAACCAGCTGTATAACTATCAATGGCATAGTATACGATGATTTGTAGTCTAAGTAATGGACAAAGTAAACACTGTGACCGAACAATTGTTTTATGTGAGAAAACTACATGCATTTGTATAAGGCGATTTATACGTACAGGTTTCACATTATCTTTCTCATGGTCTCCACTACTGGAGCAACCATGTAATGGTGATGAGAGTTTACAATAAATTTGAGCACACCCAGTTGAAAATTTTGCATTCAGTTGAAAATAAATTTGCACCAAGTTGAATGGAAACTGAGAGTGGATCTATAAGCAAACATTTCCAATGGCCCATGGCACATGTTTAGTTCCTAGTTCTGAGAACACTACTGTACTTTTGTAAAAGCTCAATTATGGGAAACTTTTAACAAATGATACAAAGGTATTTAATTGAACATTATGTGATCCTCATCCTGGTTGGTCAATACATAGTCACATGTTACTATTTCCCTTCGAAAGTTGTATTCCCTCAAACATGAGAGGCAGGAATACAGGGTGATCATTAAGTTCTGGGAATTGGTCTGCCATTTCAAGATTTCTCAACCATTTGAGTTGAACTTTTCAGCAGGTGCACATTGTATAATTCTGAATTGACAAGCAATGTTTCATATACATATCATATCTACAATTTATTTTATTGCAATTACAAAAAAAGTAAAAGTGGTTCGCGGGTCAGAAAATTTTGACTGATGTTAATTTGAAAATTTTCTGCCAAAACATATTCATCTTGCCTAGATGGCTGCTTCAAACTACTTGGACTAGAGGCAGAACAGTACTCTTGAAGTCATTTATTCAGAAGTATTCTTCATTGCTGAGACGATCATTTCATTTATGATTGTTTCCATTTGCCTGGACGCACATGCGTTGTTGACAAACTTAATCCATAAAGATGTGTTCCAGTCCTCCCTTTGGTATCCCTTGAAGATTTGCTCAAGTTGTTGAAATCAGTCCCTTATCGGAATCAAACTTATGACCTCTCATATAATGCTTTAGCACCCAAAATGTAGTGAAGCCTAATGGTGCTTCATCTGGTGAATATTGTCTGGTGAATATGGGGCAGAAATAACTTGTGTGAACCCTAATTCTTCAAGAGAAGTATGGGCAGCTTGAGTAATGGGAAGGAGCATAGTCATAATGGAAGATAACTCCCCGCTATTTTTAGTCACGATTGTGACTTTGAAGTGCTGATGAAAGATACGAAAATAGAGCAAAGTACACTATTATATTACAATACAGATGTTACTTTAGAAACTAAAGTTAGAAGTATTTGGAAATGTAAAAAATCACAGAAATATGTCCACCAAATAGGTATTTATTAACCTATACTTTTGGATCAAGCAAAATTTGAATTCATTTTTATTTTACTTGACCCGCTACGCCATTTGCCATGTTGCTATAGTAACAATAATTATCCATTATGACATCAGATGACAATGAGACTGTTTTATCCAACCCAAAATTACATTCCCCATTTACCTTGAAAATTTCAAGTAAATTGGTTGAAAAATAATGAAATGACAGACAAATTCCCAGAACTTAGTGATCACCCTGTATACATTTCAACTATTGCCTGCTGTCGACGTCACATTTGCAACTTCTATTAACCTTGGGAACATCCGCATGTCACCACTGCACACCCAAAAAACAGAAAAATTAGGAAACGAACAAATCAGCCTTCATTGAGGAACAGGACAAATCAATTTTGGGTATATAATAAAACAAATAGTGACTGCCTTATTTCAAGCAATAGTATATAAATGATTTCCCCACAAGAATATCCTCTTAAACATACCTTTTAGAGGATATTCTCTTGGGAAAATAATTTACACTATTGCCCTTAATGGCAGTCACTATTTGGATAATATATCATTGAATCATTATCTGATAATAGTCTATAGAGTATATATTCATAGGTGTACATACTTAGTTGCTGTTGAGACGTCTCCTAGCTGCGTGAAGTGTTCTGAGTTACTTGTGGATGTCTGAATGAAAAGGAAATACAAAGTACTTTACAATTATTGCCTTTTCTCCATTTTGAACAAACTAACAGGTAATACATGTTACATACAATGACTTCCATCAAAACGTCAGTCCTCACTTAAGTGTCAACTTGTGACTAGCTATGTGTAGACATTATATTGATATGTTACGAACGTTCACTGCTTCAACTCCCAACTCTATATATAAGCCTACTTCTAATTGGTTGATTCTTTATCTTAGATAAACCCGAGAATACAAACTTTGACATACCCTGATTTGTCGAATTAGAGTATCCTGTAGCTTGGTGTACATCTCATTCCTGTCTCCCTTTATCTCATTCTCGGCACAGTCGTCCTCTTGAACAAACTCAAACTCATCATCTGCAGTAGCATAGGGCGACTTAGGGATCTACAATATATTATAATAGGTGAACAGAGATCATATATTGATGCTACATGCTGAGAAAAAATACAATAAAAATGCCTTCAAATCAAAATATGTAAATCCAATCAAAAATGAACCATTGTCAACCTACTGATTTCAGCATTTAGTAAGATAGTGCTTTTTACAACATTGTCAAATAGGGGGACTTAGGGATCTACAATATATTATAACAGGTGCTAAGCAAAAATACAATAAATATGCCTCCAAACAAAAATATGTAAATCCTATTTATATCAGAAATGAACCGTGTCAATCTACTGATCTCAGCATTTAGTAAGATAGTGCTTTTTACAACATAGTCACATTACTTGTTCACTACAGGTCTTTTAAAGTGGAATTAATGGATCAAGCTTCCTCTGAATGCTTTGTATTTTCTATGCTCTACATAAAGCTCAAGGCTCAATGTTCTCCACGACTACATGTATTCTGGTGTATCACAGGATGTCACAAAAAGTAGTGCATTTACACACTGGATTTATCAAAGCCATTCATGGATTGATGGACTATGAACTTCAGGGATATTTGTACTATATGGAATATCATGTTGATACTAAATGAAATTATTAATGCAAAATGAATTGAGTATAATATGCACAGATACCTGTTTCATGTCCACAGGAAGGCCAGCTTCGGATGCTTCTATCATCTGATCAAACCCCTATAAAACATACCGCATTAAATTATTAACATCACTAAATTTAGTTTTAGTTATCGAGAAACTATTGCTTAACTAGAATGTGATAAAAGAATACTAAAATTGAACCTTCTCTTCTGAATATATCAAAACTTGAAAAAACTACTTTCCTAGCAAGCAGTATGACAAGTTCAAAATTGAAAAATATTTACCTTTTCAAGTTTCAAGTTGTTTAGTGAGAGAATTACAGCTATTTACAATCTAAGGGATGCCAGTTAAAATAATAAGAGTTTTGGAGAGACACTGTACCTTAGAAAGCCTGAGATATTTCTTGGCAAGCTCAATATCTCCCTTAGACTTAGCTTCCATTGCAGCAGTTCTAAACTCCTGCTGTCGTCTCTTCAAAAACACACTCTGCTGCTCTGCCTTTGACATGGCTGACATACTGCGCTTTAATACTGAAATAAGAAACAACCCAGTTCAACGATTTTTGAACAAAATAACAGTGAAAAATTCTCAGAATATGCATGTACTGAACAATGGAAAGTATAAAATGAAATAATATAAACAAAATTTAGTGATTTCATTGTCTTCTGTTTATTGATTGTCCATTTCAAAGAAAAAAAGTTGAATATGAAGAATCTTTTGATGTTACTTACTTTTTTGTTGTGAAGGCGAAACGCTGGGTGCCTTCTGTGGTGTTCTGTTAGGTGAAGGGGTCCGTTTTCCAGGTGAAACTTGACCTGGAGACCCCCTGGCTTGACCAGGTGGTGCTAGCTGCTGTGGGGCAGGCCTCTGAGGAGAAGCTTGTGGCATAGAGGCCTGGCTTGGTATTGAATCAAACCCTGGGGGCGTGGGCAGTTCTTCATAATCCACTGGTCTCCCTGCCTTGTGGCTTTTAATTGCATCTATATATTGCTAGGATAACATAAATATACATTACACATACACTTTTTATAATGATTAAATTTAGATACTTTTAGTGAATAAAAGCATCATTAAGTCAATCTAGATTTCAGCTTTGTCTACACTACTGTAAATAATTAGAAAAGTACATGTAACATTAGTATAGGGGACAAGAGCCCACATAGCAGTACAGCATATCACACTACCCTACCATGTGACCACATTTAAAAATGATACAGGGTACGGTTAAGTTGCAAATGGAGCGGGTATTCTCTATCTTTGTCCATTGGGCTATTCTGGTAATAATACGTGGCAAACTGCTCGATGAATCTATACAATGTCCTCCATTTGCAACTTCGCTGTAGCCTGTACTTATTTTAAAGGAATACAGGATACAGTATGGGGGTATAGTAGTGTGATATCATACTTTCAAACATCTAATAAGTTGTTGGAACTAGTCTACTCTTGCATGTGTAAAAATTTCAAGTTGAACGGATAGAATTTTGATGACAAGATTTATGGAATAATTCAAAATGGCTACCAAATAATTAACCCAGCATGCCCAAACCAACAATACAATACCTACATGTACATGTACCTACTAAGTGCAATAAAAATACTAATGCATGAATAGAATTTAATACCTTGACGATTCTTCCATGCCGCCTTGCTTTACTGTTATTGCCTTCTGCCTTAGCCTTGTCTTCGGATTCCTTATACTTGGCCAGTCTCTGCTCCAGGGCCTCTAACACAGACTTGGGAGCTTCTGGGGCATTAAAGATCTCCTTGGCCTCTAAAGGTTTATAAACAACAAATTGTGTGTTAGTGTACCTTGTTCATCATTAGATTACTAACAAGTTTTGGCTGTTTAGAAAAGAGAAAGGGAATATTTTTTTCAGTATCCTTTTTACCTTTGATAACTTTTAAATCACCATCTGTATGCTAATCTCACAACACATATTACACCAACAGTATATTTGTTGTCTTCCACATGGAAACTTACAAATCAAATAATAACTACACATACAAGGTTATGCTATACAGAATTTTACCCACCTTCTTGTGTGGTCTCTGGGAGTGCCCCCTCAGTTCCCCCTTCTGCACCTTGACTGGAAGCTGGTTTATCTGGACTAGCTTGGTGGGAATCACGTTCAATTTGCACAGAAGGAACTGTCATAAAAGAAAGAACTGTCATAAAAGAAGGGAACTGTCATAAAAAGAACTGTCATAAAAAGGAATTGTCATCATGAAGATTTCTTGGAGCAGTTAAGATTGAATTGTATACCAGTTGGCGCGATATTCCCTAATGCAGTCTTAAGTCAGATTGAAACAAAGTCACACCCTGGTCACGAAAGAAAGAATAATGAAAACAAGTATCTCCAATTATCTTCTTAACATTTTTGAATTTTGAAAATACGTACAGCGAGTTTTTTAATTGCAGTAAGTAAGAGAATATTATATTTTAGTGTTATTTAATTTATTTACCTTTGGCACCTGGGGGAGGAGGCATCTTTGATAGATCAACTGATTGATTATTCTCCACAGCTTTAATGACATTCTCAAATTGCTGAAACACATCACATATTCATAAACACATATCATATATTTACATACTGACACTACATGTACATACCATGTGAGATCGAAGTGATTCATTTAAGGGATAACTTCTTTTGTCCCGATTGTTGAAAGGATTTTTCAATTTTATATTATACCCATTGAGATCAGTGAAAACATGACTGCCATTTTAAAGTTTACAACAAGGCATTAACATGCAAAATGTCACCACCTGCCATTTGTTACAGACACCAACCATCGAACACTGTCCACAAAAAATTTGGAGACTATAAAACTATGTTTTGGAACAATTATGCAACTTCACTAATGTAAAGCTGTACAACTCCTTTTGATTACATACACTAGAATGTAGGGTTATTCATTGAATTGAATGATATTATTCACAATACAAATTGAACTCTTACTTTCATAACTTTGAGATACTGGGCTGCAGTAGTGTTGTCTCCTGCACGTTTAGCTTGTATGGCTGCTTGTTTGTACTGCTCCTTTCTCTCAACTAACAGTTTGTGGGTGTCACTTTCTTCTTTATCTTAAAATATAGTAAAACTTATTACAATACTGATATCATACAAACAATGTGTTTTATGATTGGTTTCTTCCATTGGAAATGGAATCTCTCCTCACATTTATGAAGGAGATTGGAATTGGGATAAACATAACAATATATTTGGATAACTACTAGTAAGTAACTTCAAGAGGCAATAAAGGTCAATTCACATGTAAAACATTTCATCAATGTGAGTTTACATTCCTGTTTGTAAAAAAAAGATTTTTATTACAGTCCTAACCATGAACTTGGGCTAGTTTATTTTAAATAAATAGTTTTGTAATTATGAATCAAATTTAAAGGTTAAGATAAAGGAAAAACTGTTTATAAATGTATATTATAATGGCAGTGTAGTGTAGTGTAATATCTCGTAACTAACCATGATTTGTACCATCGCACTTCTTGCTTTACAATGTACAATAGAAATAAAGCCCTTAAATCCAATGTATCTATTTTACCTGGTGTAGAATGAGATGCTTGTGCTGATGGTGTTGTCTCTTGATCTGTAGTGGGTTGTATGACTCTATCAGGGGGTGCTGTAGGAGATAACTGTTTTGGTGGGGCACTAGGCTCTACTGGAGCAGTTGGGAAACTGGTTGGGTGACCTAAAATATATTGTTCATTATACCACAACAATTTACACTATGTTGTATAGAACTACCACACAGAATCGTAGAGTTGATACATTGTATACATTTTGACAATTCTTGCCATCATGATGAAACTGTCATCTCATGGAAACTTGATAATTATAAGTGTATATGTATCAGTTACAAAATCATACAAATTCATAATCTATTTTGGTAATAAAAAGGATCTTTTTAGTTTGTACTACAGTCTAAGCAATATATCTCCTTTCTGAGACAATAAACATAATTTTTGCAATAATAAAGCCTAGTACATGCAGTTTATCACCACATTATTGTATTATACAGAGCAGTCAAACCCAATGGACGGGGCAGTGTACATACTTAAAGGAACTGGAGGTCGATTCCCAGGTTCTATCGGCCCTCTAATGGGTTCTGGTTCATTGGGTGTCTCCCTGGGTTTGTCTGGCTTCTGGGTACTGCTTCCTCCTGTGGCTACTGGTGGAGGTATGTCATCTTCACAAACAGGTTTACCAGCTTTGGCAGTCTTTATCTGGCCCTGTAGGGTCTACAATCATATACATGTGAGAAATATTAATTTTGTAACATAGGTTTTAGGTTGATATAAAGATGGCAGCAGTGATACAAAGAAGTAAAATAGATTGATCACCCTGCCATCTTTATTACTAAATTCTATTAATTACTATATTTCTATCGCCATTTAGCCTACATGTAAAGAAGACTATGGGACACAGCGGTTGCAGATGGGAAAACTCTCAATTTCATGCAAGTCTTTTTTACAATGAATTTCAAAACAGGTCACAGGTACTAACTAGACATTACAATAATGTGAGCATGTTTGGTTTTATGAAAGCTAACACATGAGGCTATCTCAGTGGTATGATAATGAAATACTCATGGTATGTTGAGGTGTGCTACTTCCAGAATTTTGTTAAGAAAACATATAAGAAGCCCAAAATCTATCTGCAGTCACATAATCACTGCTTCAGAAAACTGGGATGAGGAGTTTATATTGCAGTAAATTGATTAAGATACCATTGACACATAAATGCCTACCTTTAGTCCTCTCTCATATCTTCTTTGCTTAGATCCTTCATTTGCTTGCTTGGCATTTGCTATTGCAGTCTGGTACATGGTGAATCGCTCTTCAAGGGTAGCAAGGACATTAGTGCCACTAGGGGGAGGCCTTGGGGCTGGGGTAGGGGATTGAGTGGGTACAGGGGCTGGCTGTTCATTCTCTGGACTTAAGTCATCCAACTCTGCCTTTAATCAAAAAAAAACATAATAATATTGTCTTAAACACGCACCTTTTCAAACATACTTTTCCAGATTGCTTTTCAAACTGTTTTTATATCATTTCATGGAAATATATGAGAATCATAGAATTTATTTTAACTCATTATGATATAATACTAACAATTCAAAATCGTACATCAGATTGAATAGATACATCACTCACCAGTAATTCAGGGTCATCAAGATCTATATCATCGTCTTCTCCATCATCATCTTTCATACACTCAGCAGCCATCTTATCAATTTGAGACAAATGTACTGGGCCTGAAACAAGATATAAATCAAATTGACCATGATTGCCAATGTCCCAGATAAGGTTAAACTCACAATCCTTTGTGTGTGATCTTGTGTACCAGTCCATACTTTTGACTTTGCTACTCAATATTGCATAAAATATCACAGTATTGTATTAAATTTTTATTATATTTGCACAACTAAACAGTAAATCCAAGGAGTCTTGATATTAAAGCCAAAAACATAATGCATACAATAAAATCTGTGTCGTGGAACATCTTGGGTATATCATTCATAATAGTGTTTCACTTTTTTCATAGAGTTTCACTTATAAAGCTTCATTTTATATTAATCTAATCTATATGGTAAGAGGATCTCACTAGTAGAAGTGTTCCACTTATTGAGGTTACCTACTTGCAGAGGTGTTCCCTTTTTACTGTAATTTTTACCTTTGGCAGGTTTTGCAGTTTTCTTTGGGGAGTCATGTCCCTGTAGTGCAGCTAGCTCAGCCTCTAATTCTGCATCATTGTCCAGATCCCCATATAACTCATTCTCCATTGCACTCAAGTCAGGAGTCATCCCCATCTAGAAACAGTATACAAAAAATGTACAGTAGAACTTGAAGAAACCATAATTAAACCTGCACATCGCTCCAAAACGTAATATGTTGACATATACTTTTTTACATTTTCAAGCTCTAGTATAAAGTTGGTGTAAATAAAAATGTTTATTTCTGCGTAATATCAAAGCACAATGATTTAGTTAAAATAATAAAAATGTTTGCGTGGGATTCAAACCTGGGCCGCCTGCGTACTCGGGGAGCACTCTACTGCTGAGCTACCAGTTAAGTACGAACAAGATGAGCAATTTAACGCTACTTATTTTAAGTGTTATAATTTGGAAGTGACGTCATGTTCTAAATTAAGAAACCTTCCAAATATCATATCGATGCTGACAAACGAAGCAATTCAAAGAACAATCTTTATAATGACACATTTATCTTGAGTATTTTAACACGAGATTTGCCCCATTTGTTCATGATTGTATAACCTTTCATTAAGCTCAAAATCATTAAGTTCATCCCCCCGGAACAACCCTAGAATGCGTTTCGGGGCAAACAGCAGCTTAAAAAAGTTGACAATCTTCAGGAGATAGCCTAAAGTGCATGTTCATTCAGTTTAACATTGTTGTACATACATCATTGCGTATCACTTGTCAATGTCATCTCAGTTTTATATAATTTCGCATTCATGACACATAATAGACACTTTCAGTTTAAAACACTCTCATCTCATTCTCTGAAATCTGTCATCTTAATCTATACACCTATCATCTCTTCTACCCCATCAAATACTAAAATTGATGACTTGATTTCCCATTACAAATCAAACTATAGAGTCTAGGCTAGGAGTTTTCTATGGGGAGGATTTCCCTTGTAGGTACAAAAAAGCTGATAAAGATGAAAGAAGTTTGTTCAGAAGTACATGTGGTCTGCCAAGTCTCTGATGAGTTGTACTATCAGAGTTGAAACAAATTTCAGATACACAAAAAAGGGGTAGGGAACATGAACTAGCTCTGTTGAGTGTTCTTCAAAGCGAAGATAGATAAACTGGTTTACAGTGCTGCCATCTTTTTTACATAGCACCACACTCTATTTAGCTCCCACCACACCCTACTGGCAAATCATGATTGTTACCACAGTTTAAACTTGACTGAATATACAATAATAGCATGTAAAAAGGATAAAATATAACATAAATATGATTTATCACAATTGAACGGTAATGCTGAAGATGTTTGCACCACACCCTAAATATTTCCTGGTGAGAGCCCTGGAACCTGTATCAACACCTGACATCTATTGGTTGCCAAACCTGAAATAATGAGCTTCTATTCTTCAAGGTCTACATAGCACAGGTGTCACGGGTCAGACATTTTTTGGGTTGGTTGGGTCAGAAAAAACTTTGTGGGTTGGGTAATTTCGGGTCGAGTCAGAAGAAAACAGAAAAATGAATTTGACTAATTATCGAACTCTCTACATTGTTTGCATGTAAATAAGAATGCACTTTTTGTGTTAACTGACGCGTCATATAGTACAAGCAACTGAAGTGACTTGGGGAATACATGTAAACGACACAACATAAGCATGTCTATTATTGTTTCAGTCAGTGTTACTGCATATTATAAGGCTTTGATAAAGGAATAATGAAATAAACTTAGAATTAAATCGTCCCAAAAAAAACATAAATCATTTTCCAGGTGTAATTTATACACACTGTAATGAGAGCACAAAGAGAATTTACAGTACGAACTGCCGAGGAAACAGCGGCTTATGCAACACAACAACAACAAAAAGTATACAAGAAATAGGTCAGCTAGAAGTTCGATCATTTCCCGGGAATAAAAAGCATTTTACCTACATTTTAGATCATTTACGATGTTCCTGAGTGTTCTGACCCGACCCGAAATCGGTAAGTAGTTGTTCATTGGTTGGGCAGAGCCTTCTAGCCCCAGATGCGGGTCGGTGTGACACCTTTACTATAATATTTTTCACATGGTGTCCGACGGTCGAAAAATCCATTTCTTTTCTCATTCGGCCGTATTCCTGAGTTTTTCAGCCATATATAATAAAGTTGGTCTTTGACTTATCTACACCTCCTTCCTTTCGTCAGAGAGCTGAGCAGAATCATGTCCAATTACAATTTCTTCTGATTAATCCTCTAAATTTCAAAATGGTGGATGATTCGAAAAAATATCATGACATGACAAGTCATTATATTTTGTAAACTTGACCATCATACTTGAGATTGTTAATTACATTTATTACATTTTGTAAAATTACATATGTTTAGATTAGTTTGTAAACTGGATTATCACATTTGAATCAGTTTATTTATAATTTTGAATATTTATCACCCCTTCAAAAATTAAACTATAGTTCATTCATGGAATTAATGGAATTCTGGAAGATTCTTGGAACTCTGACGTCACTTGAACAGAGGGAGCACAGATATTGGCCAGATCGTTTTGTAGTAGGATCATAGGCTCAAAGAATAATACAGAAGATACGACACTAAATTGGAAAATTTCGAAAAAAAAGTGACCACCTTTCAAAACGTTCCTTATACAAAATGGTACCTGTTTCCCCGTGACAGATTTTGTACTTATTTTATAGCTGAGATCTTCATCTTTCTATTTCTACTTGTTTGGTTCGAGTAAATAACCTATGGATGCAGTTATTTGACTTTCAATACGGCGAATATTTTTCACGAAATCCGGACTCTTGTGTGTCCAAATAGCATTGTAATGATGACGTCACATTTCTGGAACCACGGGAGCAACATTCAGATTTGGACAGACAAGAGTCCGGCGATAGAATATCACTGTTTTGGCCTCTTATCAACGCAGTATTGCTTGAATAACGGCCATTGGTGATAAAAAAGGTAAAGAATAACAAGACCCTTCGAATGAGGTATGATTTGTCTCATATTTTTCAGAAATGGCTCCAGAATCGTCATTTTAAAATTTGAAATTTTCTGAGGTGTCTCATCTTGAGGAAATATTATTGAGCTACTGATTCTACTACAAAAGAATCTGGCCGGGATCTATGAGAGGGAGAGAAGAAACTTTTCTCAAGAAAATGGCCGAGTTTCTTACTGTATTTGGGTCAAATTTCGAGAATCTGCCTACTGACTAGGAGAATATGCACACATTTGACTTCAAAAAATAAGTCATGTAAATATGAGTAAGTAGACCAAATGATTCTATTGAGAGATTTGAACTTTTTCTAAAAATTGATTTTTTGACTGTCGGACAGCATGTGAAAAATATTTTATATATTCTATTATTTTTCAGGTTGCTCAATAGATGTCAGGCAATTGATAGTTCCCGTGACTGTCTTTTCTCAAACAAGCCATGGGCTCTTATTGAAAGCCCATGAACACACACAGAAATGTGTATAAAATCTTTATAACCCAGTTATGGGATTGCCATGGTAAAACTTCCCGAATCCTCTTTCAGTCTTAGCCCTGGTCTTAGCCTAGGCCTCTGTGATTTGTGAAAAACAAAAATTCCACAGGAAATTCAATCAAAATTTGATGACAATATTTTAGGGGATGTAACACTCCACATACTTGCGCCATAAGCGATGCTCCCTTCCTCTTTGTGTCCCCCGAATCTCTCTTGTTGCCGAACATAATGATTAGTTAACCAAAAACTTTATGAACGTTGATTTCCCGTGAAGAATAGAGAAGGAAGCATTTTTTGTTTTGATATTTTTCAAATCTCGAATTACGAGATTACAAACGAGACTCGAGATGGAAGCAAAATTTTGCAGAAAATGCATTTTCTATGTTTATTGTAATATTGTAGCGTAAATAGATAACAAGTTACTTAAATAATCGAACAGTTATAAGATTATATTATGTTCAATACATCTGGGTATTTTCGAGGCGTAACATGTCCGTATTATGCCAATGGGCTATGTGAAAGACCCTACTGCCATTTTCGACATGTCAAAGCTGACAACAATGAACAAAAAGGTAAGATTGAGGCCTATGTGTTGGTCTTGGTGTTATGTGTTACTGTACGTTAGTTTATCTGTTATAATTTAGATAGATAAATGCAGAGGGTAAATATCTTTTGGCCTTGTTTCTTATCTGACATACATGTACAGTTATCCCGTGCCAGGACTACAATAGTCCTGGATTGAGCCCAATCTTTTGCCTGTACGATTACAATTTGGGAGAATTATCGACGCCCCTTACACTTAGATACCTATTTCAATAGATTCCTTGGTATAATAGCATTCTTTTCGTGTAGTTAAATCCACAATTGTCTGGGTTTATCGGCAGAATGAAATTTTCGTTTTTGATCGCAATATTTGCGTGTTATATTTAACTTATATCAACTGTCAAATTCCTCCATTTATTAGTACTTCCGGGCCAGTCGAATGGGGAATCCCCTTTTAAATCCAACCGCCATCAAGAAAAGTGATGGAATCTCTCGAGATCAAAAACGAAAATTTCTTCGTTCTGCCGATAAACCCAGACAGTTGTGGATTCAACTACACGAAAAGAATGCTAAAATACCAAGGAATCTATTGAAGTAGGTATCTTAAGTGTAAGGGGCATAGATACATGTAATTCTCCCAAGTTGTAATCGCACAGGCAAAAGATTGGGCTCAATCCAGGACTAAAGTCCTGGCACGGGATAAATGTACAGTATCTTGTAGTCCAACAACACTAGACCTAGCCTGGGGCCTTGTTTCTTATCTGACTTATCTTATGGCCCCGACTAGGTCTAACCTCCATCATCATTTTGGCATAAGCGCGTAATTTTTATCGTTCCGCTAGTTTCGACAAGCGGAACTAATTAAACCCTGTAATAAGATGGTATTGTGAAATAATGTGATCTAAGCAAGCATATATACTGTACCTTATGAATACAAATACATCATCCAATATCCCCCTGTGTCTTTGATGATGAATACATTCAAAAGTATTCGAGACCGCTTGCAATTCCGAGACACACTGAACGAAACACCGTTGATAATTACATTTAGAACATGTTTTAACCATGAACATGTAGATCTACGTTTCTTCTGTTTTCAGAGCATGCAGAGCAAGATGGCTCATCAAAGGAGCAGTCCCAGACATCTAGTAATTCTGGTTCCTCTCTTTCCATTCTCAACATGGTTGGGAATGCAATACAGCAGGTACAAAGAGAAATTGATGTCAATCAGACAAGACCCCCTCATATACAAGGGGCACCTGGCACCCCATTGGTTTACAAACCTACACTTATTTCACATGGAAGGAAGCAGGAACTTGCATCTACAAATTTCAGTAACCGCAATAGACTTCAAGCCAAACCATATCGTTATGTCCCAACTGCTATTCCAAAGAACAGGCCTCATTTAATATCTTATAAACCAACTCCAATCAAAGAATTAAAGAAACAGGATACCAGTAATACTGACCTAGAATATGATCCTGCTTGTAATTACTCCACTAGTACAACTAAAAGTCCTCCTAAAAAGCCTCCAAATGAAACAAGTAAAAGCCCAATAAAAGGAGCTAATGTTAAGAGTCCAGGTAGAGCACTCCCATCTGATGCTATTGAGGCCAAGTTCAGTAGTGAAAGTGAGTCTGAGGTTGAGGCAAAGGATGAAGATAAAATAAAAGAGGAGAAAGATGATCACAAAACTGAGTCTGAGTCTGAAAAGAATAAGGATCACATTGAACAGCATGCAAATGCTAATAAAGAAGACTTGGTGTCTAATATCTCATCAGGAACAGAAAGTGTGGAAGCCAATGTAACAAAGAGAAATGAAACTGATCAAAAGTTAATGAAACCAGATGAAAAATTAAAAGATAAAGACAATTTGGCAGATTCTGGCACCAAAAAAGAAACAGGGAAAGATATTCCCATTGAGGAATCTAAGGAAAAGCCAAAAGAAACAACTGGAAAACAGTCAAATGCTGAAGAAGAGGATAATGCGGATATAATTGAAGTTCCCATTGACACAAGCAAAGTGAAGAAAGAAAAGGAAGATGATGCATATGAAAGGACAGTTAAAACAAATGAAGCTCATCCAGCTGACACCAAAAACAAAGATGTCAAAGAACAAGACAATGTTGTTGACAAAATACAAAACATTAAACTAGAAAAAGACACGCCCCTTAGTACAAAAGCATATGAAGAGGCAGACACCACAAATAAAGACCAGTCTATTATGAAACCAGAAAAAGTGAAACAAGAACAATCTGATCAACATAAAGATAATTTGGATGATCTACAAGCAGAGTCAAAAAAGATTAAAGAGGATAAAGCTCAGCGAGATTCAGATGACTCCTTGGTTCTCTCTGATAGTAGCAGTGATTCTAGTGTCGGGTCTGAATATAGCAATACCAGCAGCTCAAGTAGTTCAGAGTCTTACAGTAGCAGTAGCAGTGATTCAGAGTCAGATACAACAAGATCTTCAAAGCATAAAAAGACATCAAAAACAAAAAGGAAAAACAAAAAGCATAGAGACACAAGTCATTCAAGATCACGTGATAAAAAGTCATCTCACAGATCTAGACATAAGTCACGAAAAACAAAGAAAAAATCTCGTCATTCTTCAAGGTCAGCTTCTCGATCTAGAAGTAGGAGAAAATCATCAACTAAACAGAAGAGGCACAGGTCATCTCGTTCAAGGTCAAGATCAAAAAGTAAAAAGAAGTCAGATGAAAAACATGGAAAACATAAATCAACATCTTCTAGGTCAGTGTCACATTCCAAGTCCAAGAGGAAATCAAATGATAAGCAACATAGGAAAGCTACCTCAAGGTCACCATCAATATCATCCTCAAGGTCAAGTTCAAGATCTAAAAAGGACAAGAAGGAAAAGTCTAAAAAGGATAGATCTCATGATAAATCTTCAAAACACAAACCTGAGTCTAAGACAAGCACAGATAAAAGAAGTTCCTCAGAGAAAAGATTGAAAGATAAAGATAAGGACAGACAGAAGAGGAGAGACTCAACAGGAAAAGAAAAAGAAACAAGACATCGAGATAAAAAGTCTAAGGAGTCTAGTAAGAATAAACATTCTAAATCAAAGAGCTTAGAATCAAGACACCACAAAACAGACAAAAAGGAACATTCCAAAAGTAAACATAAAGATGCAAATGATGCACTCAAAGCTAGCATAAAAAGGAAACGCAGCACATCTCAAACATTAGTACAATTATTTGGTGAGGATACTGATAGTGATCTAGAAGTTATATCAAGTGGTTCAAAAGCCAAGAAACCAAGCAGTTCAGTTGAAGAATCTAGCACTAAAAGATCATTAATTGTATGTTCCCCTGTCAAATCTAAGAGAAAGGATCCTGAAGTGATTGTAATTGATAATGATAATGACCATAAACAGTCAAACCATGGTGTTATAAAATCTTTGCCCCTGACCAAACGTAAGAACAGCACTGATACCAAAGTTGCTACTCCAAACAATAAACTGATAAAGGATCATATGGAAAATATTAGAAAAAGTATTGATGATAATGACAAGCCTGATGCTGAGAAAGACAGAAATGTAACACCAGCTAAAATTTCAAAGAACAGGTTGACATCAATACGTAAAAGTATTGAAGATATTTTGGAACATGAACCAAAACCAGGACCAAGTAATGAAAATGATAACCCCAAAGATGACAAAACAGCCAAAGATCTGGAAAGTGACATTGACAATGATGTTGATGACCTCAGTTCAGATGATGAAAATGACTTTGAGGAGGTTGAAGACATGGACCTTGAAGCAATGTTTGAAGAGGATGATCCTTTTGATGAATGTTTGAAGATATTTAATGAGAGCAAAGGTGTCGCTCCAGTCAATGACCAGGGTCCTGTAAGTATATATTATATGATCCACTGTTCCTTCTTTTGCCAATAGTCCAATAGTCAAAAGTCCAGTAGTAAAAATACATTTGTTCCATGGAAGTTTTCAAAAAAATATTGTGCGAACCAAAAATAGAGTTTGGTGAACACATTATAGCTTACATTATTGGCAATGTGAAATATGAACAGCACTTGTATGTGTTGCTAAAAAAGAAAGTTGGAGGAAAGTGAGCAGTATAGTCAGCCCCAACGTTAGTATTTATCCCTGATTTGTTCACATTGGAAGTCATACAAGTACTCAATTGTCCTTTGTGGGCTCTAGGCTAGAAATCACGCTTTTTCTTCAGTTCTAAATATTTTTTATCTGTTTTCCAGCTGAAAAAGAAAAAAACAGAAACGGAAGCAGCTTCCTCTAGCCTAGCAAAGAAGAGGAAGGCACATGATAAAGCTGCCAACATTCCAGTAAGTGAAAATATTGTACACGAATTAAGAAATATAGACCGAAGAGCAGGGGTAATATTGTCGAATACACCCTGCAGGGCTAGGCACAAACGTTTTCTGTACCCCAAACTACTGAAGGTAGTGAGGGGTTCGAAAGCTTTTGTGCCTAGCCCTAAGGGGTGTATTCGACAATATTACACCTGCTCTGAGGTTTATATTACGATTCGAACATAAAAACTCACCAAAATGTTTCGAATATTCATTATGGTCTGCCATTACTACGGCCCGCCGTTATGACGTCACACATTACACGTATTACCAGGGGTTTTGTTCGCGAATATACCCCGGCTGAAATGTTGACTTTGTTTACAGTTTATAGAAGGCGTGAATACAGTCATGTTCGAATGCTGGTTAGGCCTTGATGATATAATAGTTCCAAATGAATATTGTCACTATTACCCAGTTCTATACATGCCACCAGTTAGTACTGCACCACATGTAATATTAACAGTAGGATGGCCAATCATCAGAAAATCCTTTTTGCATCAGTTTGGCAGGGATATGAACCCCAAAATGTCACGACCCATGTTAACAACAAGCATGTCACTGTACCTTAATCGGCCTAATATGATGGTACTCACATACTCTGGTGAATAAGAGACATACATACATGCATGTATATAAATTACTGTTACACTAAGTTCTCTGTTTCATAATGTCTTCACTTTTCATGACGTTATAGTCTCCAACTTTTTTATGGACGGTGTTCAGCATTTGGGGGTTTGCATCTGTAACAAATGACATGTGGTGACATTTTGTATGTTAATGCCTTGTTCTTTTAAGTTGTATTTATTGATCTATTTTCAGGTAAAAAAGAGCAAGCCAAAGACATCAGTAAGAATGACTCCTGCCCAAGTAATGCATAACAGGTTCCAGGACCTGCAGAAGAAAATGACTAAAGTTGCTGCAGTAAATGATTCAAACACTCAGGTAATTTAAACTTAAGCCAGTTCTGCACCTTTACAAAAGATTGAAAAACTGGGAAAGTGTCTTTTCAATTCCATGTAATCAAAAATTAGATTTTGAGCTACTGTAAGTATTCTACTATAATATGTGAGTATCACATAAAATGTGAGAAATATTATCCAATTTGTTAGTTATTATGAGTATACTCATATATGCAAATCGATATTTCTCATTTTCATTGTTTCTATTTCACAGGTGGCCTATTCTATGAGTAGTTCAACATCTTCTGTACAGCGCACAGCTCACACCCCCAAAGCCAAGCCAGGCACAAGTCTACTCACAAATAAAAGAAGGGAGTCTCTTGTTAAGAAAACACAAGAACCGCTTCAAATAGGAACAATAGCAAAAAATGCCAAGCGAGTGGCTCATGTTCCAGCTGTGGTGAGTCGACTATATTGTATGTTACTATGTATATTACAGGCTGTAGTAGATTCCCCATAAATCTTAAGTGAAAATTAAAGGTTGGATCTGCCATAGGAAGGTGAAAACTATAAAAATGTTTTATGAATGTAAACCTTAAGGTTTCTTCTGTCCAAAATATAAAACTTCTGAGGATCACATATTATGCTCTCTCTCTCTCTCTGTCTCTTTATATTACAAAAATTAGTGAAGAGAAATCTTGCGAACCTCTCATGCATGGAATATAGCGCCTGTTATAATTGAAAAAGTGGTAATTAAAATGTTCAATTACAAACTTTTTCAGGCCACTGTGCAGAGACCTACAGTTCCAGCAGACTTTGGATCCAAGATCCCCAGTAGTATACGACAGAGATACCTCAATCTGATCATAGATGAGCAGCTGAAAGGCTTGAAACCTGGTACTGAGGAAGGGCCATATTATGAGAAGGTGAGATCCTTGAATTAATTTGAGAGAACACGATAACTGTAAAACTAGAGGGAAAGGTGTGACATTTTTATCTTCAAAAATACGAAAATCATGTGCACAATTAAAAGATAAAGTAAAAAGTACAAGTAAAGTAAAAGTGGAGCACCTCTGTAAGTTGAACACTTTCAAATGTCCTGTTATCTATTAATTTGATATAAAATGATGTTAGTCAATCACCTTCCACTTAAACAGGATTTACTGCATATTGATAAATGTGTATGAGGAGCGATTTGGAATTAGATAAAACTATATCACGGAAACCTGTTTTTAGATACAGCCTGTGTCTTTGGTTAACTTGTCATATTTTTAGGAAAATTAAAAGACATTTTAATAGCCATTCTCTAAAGATATTATATCACTTTGACTTAATTTTGAATATTCAATAACATTAATCAAGATTACATGATTATATACTTGTTTCTAATCCCATTTATCTAGTCCATTAACCTTAATCTTAAAATCCTACAGTTAATGATTCCACATTAATATTATAAGTAATATTATAAACCCTAGAGATTGAATTGTTTTTGTCCATCTACATTGTGAGCTGTAATTTCAGAGTCTAGCAGTGGAAAAAGCTGTCTATGATCGCAGTAAAAGTAAGAACATCTACCTCAACCTAGTCGTCTGTGCAATTAAACAAATCAGGAATGACAATGCCAAATCACAAGCAAGCACCTCCAGTGGAAGTAAAAAGCCAGCTGCTTCGAGGAAGGTATCCCACAATGCAGTACTAGGTGGTGCTCCAGCTGCGAGAACAACATTTACCGTGAATCGGTTTGGTGCCCATAAACAGCTTACAGATGCAGATCTTAAAGGTATTAAACTACATGGAACTGAAAATAAACAAATATACAAGGGGACCAAGAAATAGTTTCCACATTATAATGGAATAAAATGTTGAATTGATTTCATAATTAATAAGTATATGCAAGAAATAGGTTCATGTCAAAATAAATAAGACTATAGCCTTCTAATGTATGTTTAGGGAGTGAGTTAAACAATACAACATCTTTCTTATTGTATCTTTTCCTTCAGGTAGTGAGTTATACAAAAGACTACAGCCTTCTTATTGTATGCTTTCCTTCGGGTAGTAAGTTATACAACAGACTACAGCCTTCTTATTGTATGTTTTCCTTCTGGCAGTGAGTTATACAACACATTACAGCCTTCTTATTGTATTTCTTCCTTCTGGCAGTGAGTTATACAACACATTACAGCCTTCTTATTGTATGTCTTCCTTCAGGTAGTGAGTTATACAACAGATTACAGCCTTCTTATTGTATGTTTTCCTTCTGGCAGTGAGTTATACAACACATTACAGCTTTCTTATTGTATTTCTTCCTTCAGGTATTGAGTTATACAACAGACTACAGCCTTCTTATTGTATGTTCACCTTCAGGCAGTGAGTTATACAACAGACTACAACCTTCTTATTGTATGTCTTCCTTCAGGTAGTGAGTTATACAACAGATTACAGCCTTCTTATTGTATAATTTCCTTCAGGTAGTGAGTTATACAACCAACTACAGCCTCTTTATTGTATGTTTTCCTTCAGGCAGTGAGTTATACAACAGACTACAACCTTCTTATTGTATATGTCTTCCTTCAGGTAGTGAGTTATACAACAGACTACAACCTTCTTATTGTATATGTCTTCCTTCAGGTAGTGAGTTATACAACAGACTACAGCCTTCTTATTGTATATTTTCCTTCAGGTAGTGAGTTATGCAACAGACTACAGCCTTCTTATTGTATGTTTTCCTTCAGGCAGTGAGTTATACAACAGACTACAGCCTTCTTATTGTATGTTTTCCTTCAGGTAGTGAGTTATACAACAGACTACAGCCTTCTTATTGTATGTTTTCCTTCAGGTAGTGAGTTATACAACAGACTACAACTTTCTTATTGTATGTCTTCCTTCAGGTAGTGAGGTATACAAAAGACTACAGCCTTATTGTATGTTTTCCTTCAGGTAGTGAGTTATACAACAGACTACAGCCTTCTTATTGTATATTTTCCTTCAGGCAGTGAGTTATACAACAGACTACAGCCTTCTTATTGTATATTTTCCTTCAGGCAGTGAGTTATACAACAGACTACAACCTTCTTATTGTATGTCTTCCTTCAGGTAGTGAGTTATACAACAGACTACAGCCTTCTTATTGTATGTCTTCCTTCAGGTAGTGAGTTATACAACAGATTACAGCCTTACTTATTGACTGAGGAACAGCTGAGAGAGAATGGCTTCCCAAGGCCAAACCCTGATAAAGCAGGAGCTGCACTCTTCTATAAAGAGGATAAAGAAAAGAAAACTATAACAAGCTCAGGTTTGTTTTTTCCCATGATTAATATGTTTGTGTACATATAAGCTCCATTGTTGTCTTTCTTCATGATCCTCATTCTCTCCAAAATGTTTGTACAGAAAATTTAAAAATAAATCTCGTGTTTGGGATGGAGACCATACTTAAGCCAAAAAAATATTTGCACATTTTATCCTATAACATTTCTCATTTGTTGAGTGTCTAACATGAACTTTCAAAAGTGAAAGTTTGTAGAGAGGAATTTTGAATACATGAAATCATGATTTTTCTCTTACAGAGTTTGAGAAGGTGTGTTGCCGGTGTGGCTCGCGTTTCATGGTGCTCTCCAATGGCAGATATAGCAAAGATGAGGAATGTGTGCACCACTGGGGCAGAGCATATAAAAGAAAGCGTAGGTGATTTTGCATGGTTAATGAGGTTGGGTGTTTTTTGGCTCACACAGTGAGCCTATGGGATCGACCAGGCGTCCGTCCGTCCGTCAGTCCGTCAGTCCGTCCGTCTGTTGGTCCGTCCGTGTATGTTTTCCTTCAGGTAGTGAGTTATACAACAGACTACAGCCTTCTTATTGAGTTTTCCGGCCGGATCAAAACGTTTAACCCACCTATGCGCAGTCTCAAGTCTGTGGACCCTGAAGAAAGATAACTAACATCACAATCAAATCAAGACAAAGAAAGAAGACAATGAATGAAGAAACTAATGCAGCAACAACAAATGACGTCCGTCCGTCAACATTGGCAGCACAAATTAAAACTGCTATTCGGATTGAGTCATATCCACAGTCATTTTATGCATATCTATAATGCCTATTTGACCTATCATCGCCATTTCCCAAGTTCGCCCGGTTTCTGAGAAATTGCTGATTTTGACGTCAAAAAGTCAAATTTTCTGTAAATACACTTTGTTGAAGTAGAACTTTCAAATAACTTGTAGTAGTTGCTGTATATGCAACTTATGTCCTCTGAGGATTTCAAAGTTCTTGGAATTACATTTTTGGTGTGACAAAAAGTAGGACTTATAGCGCAGTCAGATGTCCAGAAATGAGCCCTTTATAGTTCGACTTTTTCAGGAAAGCAACACACTTGGCACAGTTGTAGAAACACTTGATCTGAGTGGAAAATGATTTCGGGGCAAGTGATCCGGAGTGGTCTTCATGGATTTTTTAGTCTCTGACCCAAACCCCTATCAGGCGGGGAGGGGGTACATTATAAAAAATAAATAAAAATGGTTTTGAAGTAAATTTTTTTAAATGACTTCATTTGGTGATTGCTCTGAGCCTTGAAATTGAGACAAACCGATTGTAGAAGTGGTGTTTAGTGAGGAAAATACATTTTGACCCAATTATCTAGCGTGAATTCATATTTTAAAGGGTCAAATATGGGACATCAAGTACTGTATTTCAAGAATTTGATGTCTGATCATCTTGGAAAAAATCATACTAATAGGGGTATAGGTGTTCATCACAAATATAGAATATGGCTTGGGTAGCTCATGTATTTTTTGAGATAAAAATTATCGAAAATTGAATTTTTAAGCCCTTGCGGCCTAGGGGTAACCTTATTCTACCTTAATAATTTTTAAGATATGCAATGTATGGGTCTCATATGAGCTCAAAATGGTGCATTGAGTCTTGTTTTGTCATATTATTCCTAATTGGATTGAAAAATGATTGGAACTTTTCAAAAAAAAATAAAAATTTCATTATCGCTTCTGAAGGGCCAGGGGTAACCACATTTTACCTTGATAACTTTCAAGGTTTGTAATATATGTATCTCAAATTAGCTCAAGATGGTGCATATAGTTCTGTTTAATCATAATACCTCCAATAAGATGTAGAAAATGATTGGACATTTCTTAAAATTTGAAATTTTCATTTTAGCTTATGATGGCCTTGGGGGGGGGGCTTATTTAATCTTGAACTTTTCTTAATTATGAGACGTATGCATCTCAAATGAGCTTAAAATTGTGTCATATACTCTTGTTTTGTCATATTATTCCTTAGGAGATGTAAAAAATAATGGAAATTTGAAAAATGACATCTTTAGCTTTTGACAGGTCAGAGGTGATTTTATCGTATATTACCATTATATAGAAGCAAAGGATGGAGTGAGTTTAGCAGCCCCGTCCCCATGACCAATGCCATTGGCAGCTTGGGTCTTAAAGCATTTATGACCCAAGCTGCAATAAACCATGCTGACCTATTCTCAACCAATCAGCCAGCTTGAAGGAACAAGTGCTAAATGCGTGTACATTAATGATGCGATTTCGTCAGAGAAAATGACCATATAGAAAGCCGTCCTTATTTCGACAACAAACTCTGATTAGCGCAGTAAGTTCAGAGATTTATTGAAAACTGATAGAGTGAAGACGAAGCTCTCTTTTGAGAAGGAAAGTCGAATGAATGCAAAGGGTAGTAAGTCCAGTCACCTTAACCTGATGGGGGAGGGGTTAAGGTGAGCTGCTTTTGTCAAGGATTCTGTCAGTGAATAATGACAGTCAATGATTGGGCACAAGAATGCCAAATGTTATTAATTTTCAAGATAAAATGATCTCAAAATGGGGAAAATAGTCTGTTTTTCACTTTATTCCTACTGAGATAATGAGTAACAACAATTAGAAAACTCAGTGACACATTTAAATCTCAATCCATTCATTCCATTTTTCCATAGCAGTAGAATACAGATGTAACATCACATCCAATGATTGTATGAAAAATGGTGAGGGTTAAACTTTGGCCATGGGCAGGTAGATATTGATAGGATTTCTCCCTTACCATATGCTATCCAAATTGACTTTTTCATTTTTTAACATCACATATATGCCAGGATAACCACATCAGAATTAAATGTAAGGAGTATTATTCTTTCTCTTGAAGGCCATGATTGAAGCAGTCTTACTGAAAATATTGAGAAATATCCTTGAATCTGCTTCTTCTTAAGAGCAAGGGCAGAACCTCACTGTTGGGCTAAAACATTGCATTGCCTCCTTAATTTATGTGGTCACTATCTTCTTTCCATCCATTTCAAGGGTTTCAGTTTCCTCCTTAGACTATCCTTGTTCCAGTTCCACAAGTCTCTCTAGTGCTGTTTTAAAGGTGCAACAATTAGTGCAAAGGGGCCATTCAACGATCATGGACCAGTGTCAAAATATATTCAAGTTTGGATATTTCATCAAGACTAACATATATGTTTATTTTTTTCCAAAGAAACCCCCTGGATGAACATTATTTCAGCTGATTCCTCTTGAAATGTTTTGGATCTTAAAAATCTATAAGTGGGCCTCCCTTTATAGAAGCTTTGAACTGAATTTACACTTCTTAATGCTAAAATTGATAGTTTATCCATACATTTTAAGAAAATAGGTATGTCAAAGAAGATGTTTAGCCAAATATTACCCTGATAGCTCAGAAAAAGTAAAAAGTAAAAAAATTGAATCTTCTACAGACCTTGTTGCCCCTTTAAGCTAGTGTCCTGGTAAACATTCCAGCTGACATCAAGGCAATGAACTATTTGCAGACTTTTACTGGGTAATATCATATTTGCATAATCACCCAGTTTTCTTTATATATCACTGTTAGCATGTTTAACTATACATGCCCTGTCTATTATTTTGGCATCTACTATGTAGCATAGTCATTCAACTTTGATGTTAATGAGCATAGATACAAACAGCACAAAACTGGAACAGTGAGGAAAGTATATTCTACTAATTTTCTTCTGTGGAATTGGCAAGATTTCCTAAGATAGTTGGAACAAGAGGGAGCTGTTTTCCTTCCAGGCATTAAAACTGAAACCCTGGAGGAAGATGGCAAGATTGTGACCTCACAATGAGGTAATGCAATATCTTAGCCGGATAGTGAAGTATCTGCCATCACCATTCGCTCGTATGAAGAAGCATGCCAAAGACTGCTTCTGTCATGACCTAATAAGAATCATAGCCAATACAGTTGATTTTGATGTGGTTTAAACTGGCAGTAACTTGTGCTGAAAATGTCAATTTGGATTGCATATGGCCTATGGTGAGGGGAAATTCCTCCAGAATGTACGACCTGTCTTAGATATTTCAAGGCCACTTTGCCATGAACGAAGTTTAGCCCTTACCATTTTTCATACAATCTCTAGATGCATTCTGCTACTACTCTTAGTCAACTGATTTGCAGGAATAGAAGGTGTACCCAGAGGTAACGCAAGTGTTCTAAAGCTTTAAATCTTTTTTGATACCCTAAAATTAGAAGACTAGAGTCCTTATTCATTCTGATGCATTCTTAACCACAGTTTCTATCACCACATGAATGTGGCTGGCCTACAACATAAAATGTAGGTCATGGGGTAGATACCTGTGTCAAGAGAACAGATGCAAATGTTTGAAAGCAGATCTGATTTGCTCTAAGCTATGTAGCTGTAGGGGAGACTGTCAGAATCCATAAATTGTGACTCCTTTGATTAGGTTTTATAGATTTGGATTATATACTCAAATGATAATATACAGAATCTTAACAATGCTACTACTCGTGCTAGTATGAACTGGACTTATCAAACATTTTCACATCTTAGAAAATGTTTTATAAAACTAGATAGTATTGCCATTGGTACTAGAAAGGAATAAATGGCTGTTGAGGTTCATTTTTTATAACTGTTAATCATTATTGTATATCTCAGTAGGAATAATATGACAAAACTAGACTATATTCACTATTTTGAGCTCATTTGAGTAGACAATATGATATATCTTTGTTTAAATTTTTAAGGTAAAATTAGGTCATTCCTGACCTATCATAAACTACACTACCAATCTCAAATTGCATCAAACAGCATGGTTTCATAAACAGTGCTGTAAAAACAGTACTATACACAGCTGTTTTCTAAAACAGTACTGAGCTGTAAAAACAGTACTGTACTACGCTGTCCAAAACTGATGGTGTTAGAATAGCATTGTACATTGCTATATAGTGCAGTACTCTGACTGCACTGTTCAGTACTGTTTACAGCACTGCAAGAAGATGTTGCGGATTGGGGGTGTAATATGAAAATGTAATTTTCTTATAATTTCCAATCATTTTTTCACTCCTTGGGAATGATATGATAAAACAGGACTAAATATACCATCTTAAGCTCATCTGAGGTGACTATGTCTCATATTTAGAAAATTATTAAGGTAAAATAAGGTTACCCCAGGGCCATCAAGAGCTTAAGTGAAAAATTTGATTTTTTAGATATATCCGATCATTTTCTACATCTTATTGGAAGAAGTATGATAAAACAGAACTATATGCAACATCTTGAGCTAATTTGAGATGCATATATTACATATCTGGGAAATTATTAGGGTAAAATATGGTTACCCCTGGCCCTTTAGAACCGAAAATGAAAATTTGATTTTTTTTTTATTTTCAATAATTTTTTTACATCTAATTAGGAATAATATGACAAAACAATACTTAATGCAACATTTAGAATTCATATGAGGCCCAAACATCGCGTATCTTAAAAATTATTAAGGTAAAATAAGGTCACCCCTAGGCCGCAAGGACTTAAATATCCAAATTTCGATAATTTATTTCTAAAAAAATACATGACTTACACAAGCCATATATCATATGAGTGATTAACACCAATATCTCTATAAGTATGAATTTTTTCAGGATGATCAGACATCACATTCTTGAAATACAGTACTTGATGTCCTATATTTGACCCTTTGAAAGATGAATTCACGCTAGATAATTGGGTTAAAATGTATTTTCCTTCCTAAACACCACTTCTAAAATAGGTTTTTCTCAATTTCAAGGCTCAAAGCAATGACCAAACGAAGTCATTTAAAGAAATATACTTTACAACTATTTTTATTTATTTTATTATAATGTACCCCCTCCCCGCCTGATAGGGGTGGGGGTCAGAGGCTTAAAATCCATGAAGACCACCCTGAATCAATTGCCCCGAATTCATTTTTCATTCAGATCATATATTTCTACAACTGTGCCAAGTTTGTTGCTTTCCTGAAAAGGGACATCTGACTGCGCTATTAGTCAGGAAACTTTCTTATGTATAAAGTCAATGGCAGGTTTTGTGATTGACAAGTTTCTCAAAGTTTGCCTTATACTTGATCATTTCTTGCAATGAATTACATCATAACTAGATTTAAGCATTCCACTACATATTGCTCAATATATGTCAGCATCAAATTTTTACCGTTTTTGAGATATTTGACGTCAAAAAACAATAAAAATAAGTTATTTTTCAACTTGCTTCAATTTGACCAATTTTTTTTTGAAAATCATCTACAAGTTACCAGGAGTTCAAATATTATTTTTAGTTTTAGGATTTGACCTTTACTTGACCTTCAGTGACCTTTGAAAGGTCAAAAAAGTTGATTTTTCAAATTGATTTTTGGATGTAAATTTTGGTCAGCTTAATCACAAAAGACCTTACTGAGCTCTAAATAAGTAAAATTTTCAAGGTCAAAGGTCATCAAACTAGGTCACACAACTGTGCTGTCTAAGTTTCTTAAAGTTAGAGACTACAAATCCAAATCAATATTTTTGTTTGAAAGTAAGGATATACATTCCTCTGAAGGTTCCAAACTGTGTGAGCACAGGACGGTGGGTCCTATTTTTTTTCAACTGGCTGTCTTTCATTTTACTTTTGTGTGATAAAGAGTCATTGATCAAAACATAAAAAACCTTTTGGTGTAAATCAATTTTCTATTAGCATGTCAAAAATTTTTTACACAGAACTAATCACAATAACTATGTTATTTATGTGTATATGTGAATTTTAGTCCAAGTTGTGATGTAACCTATTGTGTTAATTTTAGTCTAAGGTGTGGTACAGGCAAGATATAAATGAACACTGAACACTACATTTCTGTGTATTTCAGTCTATGGTGTGGTGGAGGCCACATATAACTAACATGTAATATGTGTGTATTTCAGTCCATGGTGTGGTAGAGGCCAGATATAACTGCTGTCAAGAAAGTGTTGGTGCCAGAGGATGCTCAGTAGCTAAGGTAATGTTAGCCTAAGTTAAACTCTTCTAAGCTCAATACTTTTGAATGCAAAAGTCTCACAGTTATTGTACAAGTATAACATTTAGTGAATGGCATCAGCTCTTAGACCAATTTTTTAAATCATCTAGAAGTTCTAAAAAGTTCAAATCTGACTATAGATTTGACCTTCAATGACATTTTCAAGGTCAAACAAATATTTGACCTTTAATGACCTTCTTAGGGTGAAAAGGTATTTTTTCAACTTGCTTCAAAATGACCAATTTTTTCAAAATCATCTACAAGTTCTCAGAAGTTCAAATCTGTCTTTAGATATGAGATTTCAACTTCAATTACCTTCTCAGGGTCCAAAAAGCTATTGTTTCAACTTGCTTTAAATTGACCAATTCTTTTTTCAAAACCATGTACAAGTTTTCAGAACATTGGAACATTTGGTAAAATTGGTACCCCGGAGCTGATAAAAGAGGATATTGACATTTTTATATAGATCCTCATGTTGTTTTTACTTTTTACCATGGTGGTAAAGTAAACTCATGAATCAGTTATATGAGCTTTTGCAAATTGGATGACAGTAGTGCTATTGATCAGTTTGTGTAAAAATGATAAAAGAATAATGGGCAAAAATAATATGAAGTTTATTAAAAACAGAGTAGAGACAGAGATATTTTGAAGTTATAAGATCATATTTCGAAATATCATACTTTATGAGTAAACATTTGTAAAACCAGATAAAGCATTGAAATCCAGCTCTTATTAACGATTTGATCCTGTCCAGGGCACTATTGTCCATGTTACCATAGCAACCATGATGCAACTAAAATGTAATAGTAATCACTCAAAATTAACCCGGAAATAGAATACATACTACAAGCTTGTAATAAATATCAGGTAAAAATATTAGAAAATAAGATATTAGAGATATGTTATGAGTATTTAAGTATAAAGCTACTTTTTCCAAATCTAAAGTATAACTCATCATAAAGATAAAGAATGCACCAGTACAAGGTAACACAAAAATACAGCCCTTTGATTTTGGAATAGCTTTCTCAATCCCTTAAGAGCCAGTACGTAGTTTTGCCACCGGATGGTTAATTCGGGTCAGATAACATGTCAGATAGAGAAAAACTTCACCTATATGCTTAAATAATGGCAAAGACAGAAATTCAGAAATCTAGAAAATTATATTTTTGTTTTGAATGTTTTTGAAGATTTTACACAAAAGCATGGCTACATGGACAAAGCTGTTCATGCATTGAACACTACTTTTAAAATCTACACTTAAAATAAAGAAGATTCTATCATAATTTTTTTTTAAGATTCCAAAATAAGAGGGTTGCTATTTTGTGTCACTCTGCATGGTAGTGTTCCTTGACAATGCTACGAGAAATTATTTGAGATTCCACAGTTCATTTTCAGGAGAAAAACATAGATATCACCATACTGTCCATATTAGAATCATTGTTAGTTTCAGGAAACTATTCCCAACTACTGAACTGTTTATTCTGCCAGACCCTCCAGTGTTGCCAGTAGCTTGGGCATTTGCTGTCTCATTGTTATGTGACATGTTGTTTGATTTACTTACTGTCTTGTCCTCCCTCCTGCGGTAGGCACATTCATTTTGTTCAACATCTTGTAAAATCAGTTTCAAAGATCTCAAAAACTCCTTCTCACTTTCTGACAGCATCAACCTCCAGGGTTGGTCATCATTTGGCAGGTTGACGATCCACTGCAGGATCAATTGCATGTTGTTTCTGGAAATTCTGTGTATGATATAGCCAATGGGTTCATACATTTCAACAATGACGGCTTTGATTCTGTATATTTCATCCTGAGTTAGGATTGCGGTGCTCATTAGATTTATGTTGTAAGAGCATCTGACCATTATATCTATTCCTTTAAGCTCACATTTACCGTTAATGAAAATAAACGGTGCTTCACATTTAAGCAAACGCACCTTGCCATGGTTTACCTCTGCCGCAGCACTGATTTTTCCAACTCCAAATTTTGATTTTAAATGTACATTCATAACTGTCCCATTAAGTACATCACAAAGTAACATATATGAGAATTGACCAAAGTCTTCTTTGGCGCCCTTGAACATTCCATCTTGACAGCTTTGGATGTTTCGCAGGTTTTTACACTGCATGCAGTGTTTGTTCCTCACAATTGTGAACAAGGTATATTGTGGGTTGAATTCACCTCCTTCGCAATCTTCAATGATCTTGGAGTCTTTACAGGATTTGGAACATGTAGAATCTATTGGAGTACAATCAGCTGGCGCTGTACCAATAGCTTTAGGTGGTCGAGAGGTTATGTCACATGGATTACTACTTATCCGGCCTTTTAACTTGTACAATGATAATAGAATATTGTTCCAAGTGAGTCCGTTATTAGGCAATTGTTTCATACGTTTGCAAGTAACACTTACCTCCCAAAGTGCCATTTCTTTCACACCGTTACACAAAGCACAGAAAACATTTGGATATACAATCTTTGTGATATGATCTGTCACTGGTATTATTCCCTCAAATCCTGAGTTCATATAGCATTTGCTCATTACAGACTCATTTCTGTAGCTTGGCTTACAAGTATGTTTCATAAATGCAAACTTTTCACTTGAGATCTGCATACAGGAGAAATCATGTGATGTCAGTTTGAAAAGCTCGCCATTGTTTCTTTTATAGTGTTGACTGAAATTGCCACACTCTGATGTGATGTCGCTACAGCAGTCTCCATATACAGAGCAAAATTCATCACATGAGCATAAACTTGTATTATAAGAGGACACATAATTGCTTCTCTCTCCACATCTCTGTCTGCATGTGTTGGAAACACAGGTTCTGTACAGACTAATATTTGTGCCACACTGCCCTATGTCTGTTGTTGTTGTATCAGCACTGTTCCCATGAGTACTGTTGCACTCACTGCTGTTCAAATAAGTACTGTTGCATTCACAGATATTGGCCAGATCGTTTTGTAGTAGGATCATAGGCTCAAAGAATAATACAGAAGATACGACACTAAATTGGAAAATTTCGAAAAAAAAGTGACCACCTTTCAAAACGTTCCTTATACAAAATGGTACCTGTTTCCCCGTGACAGATTTTGCACTCAATTTATAGCTGAGATCTTCATCTTTCTAGTTCTACTTGTTTGGTTAGAGTAAATAACCTATTGACGCAGTAATTCGACTTTTAATACGGCAAATATTTCTCACTTGATCCGGACCGTTGTGTGTCCAAATATCATTGTAATGATGACGTCACATTTCTGGAACCACGGGAGCAACATTCAGATTTGGACAGACAAGAGTCCGGCGATAAAATATCGCTGTTTTGGCCTCTTATCGACGCAGTATTGCTTGAATAACGGCCATTGGTGATAAAAAAGGTAAAGAATAACAAGACCCTTCGAATGAGGTATGATTTGTCTCATATTTTTCAGAAATGGCTCCAGAATCGTCATTTTAAAATTTGAAATTTTCTGAGGTGTCTCATCTTGAGGAAATATTATTGAGCTACTGATTCTACTACAAAAGAATCTGGCCGGGATCTATGGTTGCATTCAGTGCTGTTCCAGTGAGTACTGTTGCGCTCAGTGCTGTTCCAATGAGTTCTGTTGCGCTCAATGCTGTTCAAATAAGTACTATTGCGCTCAGTGGTGTTCCAATGAGTAATTTTGTACTCAATGCTGTTCCAATGAGTACTGTTGCACTCAGTGCTGTTCCAATGAGTTCTGTTATGCCCAGTGATGTTCCAGTGAGTACTGTTGCGCTCGGTGCTGTTCCAATAAGTACTGTTGTGCTCAGTGCTGTTCCAATGAGTACTGGTATACTCGGTTCTGTTTAATTGAGGAAAAGTAATGTCACTCCTTTTGCCAATATCTTTTAATTGTTTTACCTTAAATTGTTCACATAATTCTGGCAAAGTTATAGATTTCAGAATCATCAATGTGAATACCAATTTCACACTGGTACAGCTCATCTTTACATCACCAATGCACACTCTTGACTATACTGTTCTGTTGTGGACGTACAAGCTCTAACCCATCAGCTACCCAAGCTTAAAATGCAACTATGGGAATGTCTTCACTTAACACTATTTCTCCCAGAATGGAATATCTCATGTAGCAAGTATACAATATATCATAATATAATGTTAATTTGAGTAATTATTTCTCTGTTGTATTCTGTATTTCACACTTTTCAATTATGTTTCTTAATCATAATCATGTCAGTGATACTTTCTCATTAGTAATCGAATATCATCATGGATATTTGAATCTACCTTTAAGGGCTAATTTATACATATATTGGATATACTGTATATCAGTTACCAGAGCTTCTTAATATTTTGTGAAATAGGAGTTCAAGCTTACTTATTGTTTCCTCTTTATTAATAACAAGATGATATTCATTATCTTAAGAATTCTACAAAGAAATGCTACGATGGCAATCAGCTAATTTTCAATGTTGTCATCTGCCTCATTTTGCAATTAGTAAAGAAATTTCTATTAATGGCTGTTTGTTGTCATGTAAAGGAAATGAAGCACAGGAAATATCTATATATCCGAACACCTCTCTAATTTGAATCCCTCTTTATGTGAGCACTTCTCTTCTGATAATGCTTCTTCGTTCTCAAATAAAAACCTTGAACATCTACGCTTGAGGGTGGTTCTGTTTCAAGCACACAGAGGGACAAAGTCAAAAAAAAGTCAAAAAGAAGTTCAATTATGACTTAAGATTTGAGATTTGACCTTCAATGACCTTCTTAGGTCAAAAAAGGTCTTTCTTCAACTTGCTTCAGATTGACCATTTTTTCAAAATCATCTACAGGTTCTCAACATTTCAAATCTGACTATAGATTTGACCTTAAATGACATTCCTAAGGTCAAAATAGATTTGACCTTTAATGACCTCCTCAAGGTCAAAAAGGTCTTTTCTTTAATTGCTTCAACTAGGTGGTAACATGTCATGTTAATGCCTTGTACAAATACTTGATACTAAAATACATTCTTGTTACAGATGCATGTGTTTGATGACAACAAGAAGAAAGACTTGAGTGGTTACATGAAGACATTACCCTGTTCCCCTCTTCCTGATGGTGACTATGGTGTATATGCACTCGATTGTGAGATGGTAAGTGATGATGTGATAGCCATTACTCTATCATGCCAAGCTTCAGTGAACAGTATAGCAATTGTTATTTCCATGTGACTGCATCTTCTGTGACATTATTGAAACGTGATGTGATGTAAAGTAGAGGTGTCAAGTATTAACCGGTTAACCGCCGATAATGTCTTGACCGGTCTGTGTTTTTATGGGTGGTTAGTTGACCGTGTATAATTCTGTTATTTCCCGCGCTTATATTGCATGCTAATCTGTTTGCTTTTAAAGTGTTAGTTTCACGTAAGCTACTCATACATGTCATAAGTCCCATAACTCCTTACAAATATCCAATCAGCAACTTTAATCCCTGCCACATTGCTTTCCCGCGCTTACTTTGCATGTTAATCTGTTTGTTTTTCAAGCGTCAGTTTCATGTGAGCTACTCCATGTGATAGGTTCAATAACTCCTTACAAACATCCAATCAGCAACTTTAATCCCTGCCACATTGCTTTCCCGCGCTTACTTTGCATGTTAATCTGTTTGTTTTTCAAGTGTCAGCCATGTGTAATCAACTCATAGGCCAGATTATTCCTTACAAACTCATTTCATAAATAAATTATATGCATTTTTTAATTCGTCAGTTTTTATATGGTATGACTCCACCATTGTTTTGCCGTTTTACTACATGCCACAATCAACCTCACTGCCATCATATCAAACCAGGCCCATTTTCCATCAAACTTGGCCCAACTACTATCAGGTGGATGTCCTTCAAAAATCAAGTTGGCATGGTTACCAAAGCCTAATAGTTGCCATGGCAACCGTAGAAATGGGGTAAGAAATGAGAGCAAAAAAGCACCCAAACCCACCATATTGGCACTAATTTATAAAATATTTCTAGACATACAAATTTTCTTAAACTTTGATATCATTTAGGACACTTCTAGACAACAAAAATATCAAAAATTGGGGGTAGGTTTACCACTTCAATTTTTTTCTAGGCTTGGTCAAAGTAAAACTATGAAAAAAGCACTCATTTTCCCTTTTGAATCACCTATTATCGCCCAAATGGCTATATTTTTTCAAGGTCAAGGTCGCCATGTTAAAAGTAGAATTACGGAGATAAATCTGCTCTTCAGACAATGTTTGATGGCTTTTCTTCACCACAGAACAAAGATCTTTGCCCTGGTATGCCCATTTCCATGAGATAATATACGTGAAAGAGGAACTATGTCTTTAAGTGTCATCAAAACTTTATGCCAACACGTGAAACGGCCATTTCCGCACTACTTTTGGTGTAATAATTCCATATTATTGTTGTCTATCAACGTCGCCAAAATGTCAAAGGTCAAAGCCTCGCTTTGGTAGTGAGAAAATTAAAATTAAATAAACACTAATCAGCTGCAATTATCGTTGTTATGGTGCGTTCGTGGAGATTCCAAGGGTAAACCAGTGTGGTAAGTAATTTAGAGGTACCGGCCGGTAGTCAGGTAGTGTATGAATAGAATAGAGTAAGGCTTGACGAACGTAAAAAATAAACGCCGATATATCATTTTTCCAAATTTTTTAACTTTCAAGATCGAAGATGAAGATTTCATTTGAAATTATCAGTTCAAATTTCCCGCCAGTTAACCGACTTTAACCGGTAAAAACACCCGGTTAACCTGTTAATGCTCAAGCAGTTAATTGACACCACTCATGTAAAGTACAGCAGTATTATTAATATTTAGCCAATTTGTTAGGAAACATGAACTATAATACTTATTAAAGCTGCTAGAGCAAAACAAAATATCAATAACTTTTAGCTGACCTCAGGAGAAAGGAGAAAGACCAAAATAGTGAGCTTTGGATAAGAATAAAATTCCATTACATAAGATGTAGTAATAAACAAGCATATGCTTAAAGAAAAATGAAATTATCACAAACAAAACAAGAAAAGAAGGCCTTGTGATCTTTTAGAGTATCACACTTGACACAGGTAATCTCCCATTGTCTTTGGCATGTGAGTGTGCTTGGTTCTGTACAAATAAGCACAACAGTCCAAAAGGGTAATCCAGGAAGTAACCAATCCTGTATTCAATTCAGTTCATGAAGTATTCAATTCTCTGTGATTCCATTCAGTAGAAAGGGACGCTACCTTCCTTACTCAAAAAGTAAGAGGGTTATTGTCACCTGTTGTTCAGTAAATTTTCTTGTAATATGCTCCTTTGTCCTTCTGAATTTGCTATGCAACTACTTTAATTAATACAACATGTACAATCATTAACATGCAAAATTCCTCCACCTAACATTTGTTACAGACCCTGAACACCAGATGTCAAACACTGTCCACAAAAAAGTTGGAGACATAACAATATGTCACTACTTCTGGTGGTGACATAATATCTGTAATTTGTCATATTTATTTGACTTCATAGTGTCTCATTTCTACAGGTGTACACATTGAAAGGTTTTGAGCTGGCAAGGGTAACTGTAGTTGGAGACAACCTGAACTCAGTCTTTGAAAAAATTGTAAAACCTGAGAAAAAGATTATCGACTATAATACAAGGTAGGCCAATGGAAAGGAAACACTTTTTGTAGATGAATAGAAGCTTAAAGACCCAATCATGGTAAGGTTTAAGAAAAAATTATGAATTTGATGTCTTGAAAATAGGCATTACCCTAAATTTTAAAGAATTGTCTACTATTTGTCCATTGAACGGTGTTTATGACAATTGGTTCAAAAGCAAAATTATTAATGTCTTGTCAGCTTGGCTAAACCTTTAACATGCGGCATAGATTAATGTTTGTTTGTTGTTTTTTGTCACCCTGTATGTGTAGGTTCAGTGGATTGACAGAGGAAGACATGGAGGGAGTTGTTGCTACGCTGAGAGATGTACAAGCTGCCCTTCTCAGCCTTTTTGATGACAAAACAATCCTCCTTGGGCACAGCTTGGAGAGTGATCTAACAGCCTTGAAGGTACATCACTTCACTGTTTTTACTGTACACTTGATTTTACAGGCCCGTAGCCAGGGGGGGTTGGCAGGGAACCCCCCCCCCCCCCCCGGCCAAAAATTCTTTCAAAATCATGCAGTTTTTCACCATTTTGAGCACTTCTCATGATTTTAGCCATATTTGGGCTAAAGTTGTCAAATGTGAACCCCCCTGGAAATGTTTGAAAACTGAACCCCCCCTCTTATACAGTCTTCATCAAAAAGTGGCATTTTTGGTCCACCCTGTAGATTGCATAAACAGAGTTTTTTGCGACTTTTGAAAGAATGACATTGAAAAAATCTCAAGAAGTTAATAGATTTTGCATTCATCAACATAGAGATCACTGTTGGTTTTCATTAATTCGTTATACAGTTCTAGTCACGATAACATCATTGAGTTACGTGTAGTTTTCTGTATGAAAAATCAAAATTCTGCTTTTTATCTATGAGAGTATTCATGCCTAATCTAGTATACTGTAAATGTTATACAACATTGTCTTCGGCTGGGCACTTCCAGAAAGAATTGTACATTTTATCGATTGCAAGCCAAACTTGTCCATATGCTTAAATGTTAAATAAATCAAAAGAAATTACAAACATTAAATTTTGTATGGCTTATCGAAAATCAGAAATTCTTTAGTTATTCTGATGTGATGTAAAACAGCTTTAGGAATATGTGAGTTTACGATAGATAACTGAGGTCATTCAGAGCAAAATAATACATACGAGGGGTGATCCAAAAGTTAGAGAGCAGTGAGCAATAACCTCAAAAATGCAATAACAATCAAATGTCCTCATTATTTATTTCAGCTTCTACACAACACTGTGGTTGACACCTCTGTGGTATTCCCTCACAGATTAGGAGCTCCCTACAAACGAGCACTGAGAAATTTGATGGCAGAGTACAGACAGAAGATCATACAAAATGATGGTAAATATAGCATCAGATGTAATTAGGGGACTGCACCAAGATTATTGCACTCAGTTGAGAATCCATTTACCCCCACTTGAAAGTCAATTTACCCCCAGTTGAAAATCCTTTTACCCCAAGTTGAAAATCCATTTACCCCCAGTTGAAAATCCATTTATCCCCAGTTGAAAGTCCATTTAACCCCATTTGAAAATCCATTTACCGCCAGTTGAAAGTCCATTTAACCCCATTTGAAAATCCATTTACCCCAGATGAAAATCCATTTATATTAGATTTTACCCAAATATACATACTATTTTCTTCATGTGGCATATAGGGTATTCCAAGAGTAAAAGGTAACAAGATTGCCCCTCTTCAGAATAGGTTGTGTGGTTTTGTGTTGATAAAGGAGAGGAATACATGTGTACTTATTTATTCATGTTCATTTTATTTGTTCCAGTTGGTGGCCATGACAGCATGGAAGATGCCACATCCTGCATGGAACTCATGTTTTGGAAAATTAAAGAAGATGCTAAAAAAGAACTTATAAAACACAAATGATAGATAAGAATACTCTAAGGCTGGGACAATTTTCATTTGCAATCATTTTGCTCCAGTGCTGTTTGGCACCTTAATTTAAGTTCTAAGTCAGAAGTAAATCATAAAGTAAGTGCTGGCTACAGACACAGTGTTCCTCAGTGACCACCTTACATGACCGATGACGACCTTTCTTATTATACATTGACATTGATATATTTTGTTTTAACATGGGTACCTAGGAAAGAAGTCCATGGTTTTAACTGCGTAATTGTGCAATTTAAAAGCTGTTCTGTATGATAAAGTTGATTACAATGAAAATATTTGCAGTATAATATACAATGTAATTAGTTTCTTAAACGTTTGTTTTGTTAAATGTGTACATGAAAATTAATGCCATCAGCACCAAATTCAGGAATCTCCAAAATTTTGATTTGAGCTCTAATCTGTAAATTTGCTGCTCTACAGTATAGACCAAGCAAAGTTGAAACCCTAGTATTTAGTATATTTCATATTCTACAGTATAACATGTCAAAGAATACTCTGACTACAATGTTATCAATGGTTATTATCTTGTTCTTTCATAAACAACAGCCAAACTACATGATAACATTGCTCGTTAAACTGTTGAACTGTTTGAATATATCAGCTGCCATATGCAGACTGGGTCAAAAAAGACACTGCTCTAAAAACTTTTATCTATTTAAGCACATGCTATACTGCTATCTTGTGCTGATGTGAATTTGTGCGTCTGGGCAGGCGTGTAGGCAGGCGCTATATAAATCCTTGTGCTTTAAAAGCCCATGACAGATCTCATCAAATAGATTCTGAAGGAAACTGCAGCTTATCTATTCAACTTGAAAGTTTTACAAATGTGAGAGCAGATGAGTACCAACATTTGATTAGGTTTTGGGCACCCTGGGTCAATGACATGGCCGCCATGTCCTTAAACGTTTGATATATGTTATCACTATGTGCCTTGTTTGAATAGTATACCAGTACACGTATCTATTTTATAACAAGGGAAATTTGTATCTTTATCATCCACTTGAGTTTTTGCATGCAGAGAGAACAATATAAAAGAATAACTACATTCACACGTACGGTCATTATAATTCGAAAGTTCAGTTATTGAATAGCTCTCATCACATAGTGTAATGATTTTTTAAAGATGAGTAAACCAACTAATTTCGATGATATTCTTCATAAAATTGGTGGATTTGGACTATACCAAAAGCTTTTGATTATAGCTAACATTGTATTTTTCACCGGAAACAACTGGCAATACATAATTACTAACTTCATAGTTGGTAAAGTTGGACATTGGTGTAAGCTGCCGCACATAAAAGGCATCAACCGGACTTATATGAAAGAATTTGCCATACCAAAGACAACAGATGAACTTGGAAATGTAGATTTCGATCAATGTAAAATGTACGATTATAATTACACAGAATTATTAGATAACTCCAATCTCAAGCAGCCTTTTGCAGTACAAGCTGCTAATGTGTCCCGGGTTCCGTGTAAAAATGGATGGGAGTATGACAAGTCTACATTTTTGTCGACAGCCATGAGCCAGTTCAACTTGGTCTGTGGCAGTGATTGGTTGTACACCATGCCTGCTACCGGCTTTATGGTTGGCATCCTTGTTGGGGCGACCTTTTCTGGCTGGATGTCTGATAGATTTGGTCGGCAAAGAACAACAGTCATAATGATTCTACTCCAAATAGCAGCCATTGTAGCTGCAGCATTTTCTCCATATTTTTGGATGTTCGTTGTATTTCGTTTTCTAGCTGGAGTAGCAAGTATTGGATCGTATACGCCATTTTGGATATTGGTTTTAGAGAATATGCCACCTGTACACAGATCTCATTGTACGCAGTATGTATCAATTGGACGCATAACAAGGTGCCTCGTGCCATTATTTGCATATTTTGTCAGAAACCACGTTCACCTACAGCTTGTATCGGCGGGAATGATTGTCCCAGGACTTATCTGCGTCTTCATCATGCCAGAAAGCCCAAGATGGCTTCTTTCAAAGAAACGATTTAATGAGTTTGAAAAAGTCGTCCGGAGAATAGCAAAAATCAACAAATGTGACTTTCCCGATGATATTGAAATGAATCCAATATGTAGCAACGGAACCTACTCTGAGCAGAATGAACAGGCGGCCAAGCAAGCGACTTTGTTCGATTTGTTCCGCTCACCACGGCTGAGAACGAGAACAATCATCACTTGGTTTATGTGGATTTCGGGAGTATTTGCAGTATACGCAATGATACTGAATGTTGGGACATTGCTTCCCGGGTCCATTTATTTGAACATGCTATTTATTACCGGTGTTTCCGAATTCTTTTCGTTCTTCACTATATGGCTCGGTCTATTTAAAATTGGACGACGCTGGACTTTAGTTGTATTTTTCATTATCAATGGCATCTGTTCTCTTTTAATAATACCTCTGCTTTTGATTGACATCTCTATTATAGTTACCATAAACGCTATGATTGGGATGGTCGCTATGATGACAGTTGCTCGAATTATTTACTTATACCAGGGGGAGATATATCCGACATCAGCACGCAATATAGGATTAGGAAGCGCTTCGAGCTTTGGTCGCTTTGGGGGCTTAATTTCACCCCAGATACCCCTTTTGAAGAAAGTGTGGTTTGGGCTGCCGTACATTTGTCTAGCAATATTTCCTATTGTGGCTGGATTTTTGGCATATTTTCTCCCAGAAACAAAAGACAAACGTCTTCCAGAAACGTTAGAAGAGGCAGAAATGTTTGGAACTCCGGAGTATGATAAAGATGGCGTGATTGATGGTAACATAGATGTTGCCAAGCCATTGATAAAGAGTGCCTCGGAGAACAAAAACAAAATAGTGTAAACTGATCTAACATCGCAGGAACATCGCCAAAGTGGGCGGTCGGCCTGAAATTGTTTAATGAATAGGACGCAGTCGAATATCACATACGCTGCGAGCTTTGGCCGCTTTTGGGGCTTAATTTCACCCCAGATACCCCTTTTGAAGAAAGGAATGTGTAATTTTAAAAAATGTGTCCAATCGTTTTTATCAAAAATCTGATGCTCGTAAAACGTAATTTTTTTTATGGTAATACCTTTCTAATGTGCTTAAAATGTTCGAATATTTTCATCATGGAAAATCTTCAAAAAAGCCGATCTTTAAAATCTCGAAAATACAGATTTAACAAGTACTAGTATGATCAATTGATATAAAGATATTTCTGATATTGATATTAAACATATCCCTGATCAATGATGCAACTAACTCTCATGTCTGCAATCTATTTCTAACACTAATTCGCAAGTCCAAATACCCCCCCCCCCTCAACAAAGGTAAAATCGAAGTCGTGACTTAGGGGGGAGGGCGGGTGGTGAAAAATTCGGACATTTTGTGATAAGTTGCTAACTTCCTTTTAAAATAATTGTTGGTGCCTAAATGATATATTTTCTAAAAAATGAAATAAAAATAATTACCTTTTCTAGAACTGAAGTATCGTGAGTATGTGTACATTCAAAACTCATTGTTCAAATCAATGGAACTCATAATTGAATAATCAACAATTTCAAGTTCAACTTGTTTTTGCCTTAAACATTCATATTTCAAGGAGTGTTACGAATAACAATAAGTGATTTAGTAAGGTCATATATAAATGGTGACTTATTATAATTCCAACATAATTGCGGCCCATGATTTTCCCTAGCAACCACAAAGCAATGGAATATAAATTGAAATATTGAAATTGAAACTCTAAAATTGGGAGAGGTTTATCATTATTGTTTACTAAGCATTGCGGAACATGCACGTCGGTTTAATTTAGAAAGTGGAACAAGGTACATGTAGGTAGGCTTGCCTCAAGACCCTGGTTAACCAAATTCCCTGTGTCACAAGTGCTTAAGGAAGACTACGAGGGAGGAAGAGAATATTCAGGAAAAAGAAGCCGATTCTTTTCTTCATATCCTCGAATGAAATTCAATACAATAGATATTTTCAAGTTTTTACTTTTTCACGGTCCCACCCTTTTAACTCAATATATAGGGATTAAACATTATATTATTGATTTTGAAAGACTTTGTAATTAGTCATGAACTCATGGGCACTCGACTCAATGACCAAGAGGTCACAATTCACAAATCTAGACAGGCGCATATTCAATCATTCATAAACTTCAAAAATGCAGACCGATAATTCAATTCAATTATTGAATACTTCCAGAACTTCTGCAGTTGCTGCTACTAGTTGAATTTCTTTCCCGTCTCTTAAAATTCGGTCCGAGAGAAATTATTTATACGGCATGGATTGTGGATAAGTTGTAACAAAAAACAATGGTATTCTATCACTATAAAACAAAGGACTTATATTCCGTTAACATAGGCCTAATTGACAATTTAACCAATTGCAGAAAGAAACATTTGGACTAAGGGAAGTTGATTGACCCAGAGATATTACTAAGATTAATTACATAAGCAGGTATGTGTTTATCCTAGTGCCAAGACCTGCGTACGTTCTGTTCTTGGATCCTGTAATAAAGCTTTACATTACATTTCAAAAGTCGAAAATGTTCGGCACTAGCCATACACATGATTTTTGCCTCAACCGATTCTAACATTCCTAGCGTTTCCAATGAGACGTTTAATTAACTTGAAAACGACTTTCAGCTTTAGCAATAGCAGATTCGGACAGGGGGACGGACCCATATCAATTTTTTCTCTCCAAACCATCTCCGCAAAAGTAATATACTGAAGTAATAAAACAGAATATCACATGCTTGTGCTTAATCAGCCTGTTCACCCTTTACGAACAGATCAGGCTCTTTCCATATTGATACGGTATCGGTCGAGAAACGGTGACAAAATTGACGTTGTCGGACCAGTGGTGAGTTTAATCTTCTGAAAGGTATACAATTATCATCTAGTAACAAATGCAACTTACGAAAGTACTATTCTTATTTGATTTTTTGTCACCGTTTCTCGTCCGTTACCTTATCAATATGGAAATTGCCCGATCACGTCGTATAGGGTGATATTCATAATTAACTAGGTCGGTAAAGTACTAAAGTATATCCTTTCCAATAGTTTAAGTTTGATTCTGTAAAGGACATATGAAAATATATATATTCAGTTAAACCTGTGTATATTGAACATTTTTGCCGAGAAAACGTTCATGCAGCGTTGGTATTCACAACAGAGAGGGTAATTTATGCAGAAGTCAGTAAAGTATGTGCGGAGGAAGGGCATCCACCAGAGACAGGTGTTCACTAGAGAGAGGTGTTCACTAAGACAGGTTTTACTGTAACCATATTCGCACGCTCGGTAATAG